TGCATATGACTAGATATGACTATATGTAGTCACATGTAGTTAGGTTCATTCTTGTTACTACATGTGACTATATATGACTACACTTACCTGACCATATGTGACTATATATGTATATAAATAAAATTCATCTACACCACAAAAAAGTTCACAATTGAATCTATATATAAATATGATGAATAGAACAATGTGGTTGAAAAAAAAAATATTTACTTACTGTAGTGAAATTCTATCACAGAAAAACATTTGATTTGTTGTATGTTCTTGAAACTGAATTAATGAGATGACAAATAAACTCAGATAATAAAATGTGAGAATCAATGAGGTATGTATACATATAATTTAAATTATGAATTGTAGGTATGTATTTGGAGAGTAGAATTTTAATTAAAAAAAGAAAAGAAAAAAAAGCAAAATCTTATATATAACTATAAATAACAATTTTTATTACAAATATCGATTGAAAACACACGGTCATGTGCATATGTTACTATATATTACTATATGTTACTACGTGTAACTATGGTTATGTATATATAATTTAAGTCAGCACTACAATATAAGAAATCAATTTATATCAGCAATCGACTCTTATCACCATTACAGCGAAATTAAAATCAACATTATATGAATATAAAGGAAAAGTTCTTAGTTGGATACCCATAACATATACATTAATTAATTGCAAGCCAAATGCAACAAACTTTGCATCAAATCAAGCATCAATATCTAATGTCAGAACAAACAGTCAAATTTGGGAAATAACCACACAATCATTCAATCAAAATCCCAAAATTACAAATAAAAATAAAAATAAAAATCAAGAGATGCTCGTCAAATTACCTGACTGAATTTGAGTAATTCCACCATCACCAGATCCACAACTCAAACGACGAGCAAATCGAGACCAGCGGCACCCTCAACATGAGCAGCCAGAAGAGCAACCGTGACGAGGACGGCAAGAGCGATCTCGACTGCGGCAACGACAGAACCCTGCCGGGGGCGGTGGTGGAGGATCTGGAGAAGGAGGATGAGATATGGGAGCAGCAAGAGAGAGTAAGAAAGAGGGAGAGATGAAGAGAGAGGGTGAGAATGGCGGTGTGGGTTGAAACGTGTGAGTGAGAAGAGATAAGATTAGGAGGTTAGGGTATATATTGAATTCAAACTAAAAGGGTAAAATAGGTACTTCAAGTTGTTCAAGGGGGTCTCACTAATTAAGATCAGAATTTGGATTTTTGATTAGGGTAGAAATATTTATTGGGCCTCCTCATATATATTTTCAAAAATAGGGGTATCACTCATTTCCCCTAATATGATTAATGAAGGTAAAATGCAAAAGGCAAGGGAGGCTCCATTGAGCAGCCTAGAGCTATGGCTCGAGTAATGCGTGCTTTTATTGCATCTTTTGTGTATTTTTTGAATGCGAGTTTTTTTCCACAAGCTATGGCTAGAGTAATTCGTGTTTTTATTGCATTTTTTGTGTATTTGTAGAACAAGAATTGTTTCTTTTTTTGGTTGGAGATGCATAGATTTCATATTTTTAGGCAAGAATTGGTATTAGATGGGTGCATTTCATCCCATTCAAGTCGTTCAATAAGAGGACTACTTGATTCAACACCAATTTTAATGGGAATTCACATTGAGTTAGCAAGGGAGCCCTTGGACGAAAGATGCTATGTCTGTTGCGACAAATGTTTGTTGTACCAAAACAATTTTGACACTTCTCCATGTAAGTATTTAGGTGTTCTTAGATTTTATTGTTTGACAGTTAGCTTTTCCTAGCTAATTACAGAAGTAAAATATTTTTCTTTTGCATTTTCAGCCAGGGCCAAAACATCTTAAGGGAAGCCTTGTGCTCCAGCACAATTTATTGGAATCTTATCAACTTTCATTGACCTTCATTCAAGGCACCAATATCAACATTTGACTGTTAAAGTCAGGGGTTATTTTTTTACGTTGTGTAGTACAAGTACTTGTTGTTATTTTCCATATAATATCGTATATTTTTAACCACATATGCACATTGTGTAGATAATTTTTTAAAAGATTTTATCACTCTAAACAACATATTTATTTGTTAGTAATAGTTAATGCATACTTGCGATTTTTGTAACTCATAGATATAAGTTGAAGATGGTATTGTGAAGTTGTTGGTGTCTTCCTTTCATTTTTTTTCCCTTCTTTGTTATCATATATGCGGTTTTGTTAAATTTGAAATTTTGCTTACTATGAATGTAAATTTGCTAGGCATGTACATGTACTTATCAACTATTAGGCCTCATCTTTACTAATCAAAGATAATGAAACACATTTAATTAACAAATACATCTCATAGAATAAATTGATTAATAAGAATATCTCTTCAAATGCAAGGACTAGAACATAACAAAACAAACAATAGTGCAGTACAAAAGAGAAAAAGAAAAAGTAAAAAAAACCAAGCACGCATAAATATTGGACTTCAAAGAAAAGGGGGGAAAACTAACGCATAAATATTAGGAAATTGTGGAAGATTTCTATAAAATGGTGAAGTTTTCTCGTCGGATCCAAGTAGCTATCAACTGCTTGTCTAAAACTATAAAGCACGACAAAAATTGACTTTACGCCAAAGTTGTTCAAATCAAAGATATGAAGCAGTATTTCACCTTCATTTGTATATTAACTCGAATTTTGTTTGATAACAATATTCAGTTCTAACTTTATCGACAAAAATCGTCTAATTGCCTACATTTGTTACCTCAATGCATTAAAATTGATTTTGATTTCAACAACTTGAAAAATCGTAAACTCTCTTTCATAATAGGCTCCATACATGCTCGAAGATGGGTATGTTTTTTGAACCATCAAAAGGTCACCCACCACCACCAAAAGATGACTCTACCAACAACAACTTATGTAAACGCAATGAAGCAGGATTGACGAAATGGTCCACCATTGGTATACAGTGGAACTCGATATTATTGTACCCCACAAAATTGATAATAAAAATTCGTCGTGTTCAATAAAGCTGTTAATGATATCTTTAAAAGATCTAACAGGAATAAGACGATGATGATGTTGTTATCCTATTTTCTCATATTCTCCAGCTCTAAGACGATGACGGAGACTGTAATTTAACTGTTAATTGACTCTTTTTTTTTTCTTCAAAAATATTTTAATTAATATTACTGTCTTTGCTACGAAATTACTGTCTCCATCAGTTATTTAACTGTCGGAGAGAGTAATTTAACAGTTAATTGACTTTTTTAAAAAGTATTTAAATTAATATTACTGTATTCGTTGCTAAATTACTATCTCCAGCAGTTATTTAACTGTCGGAGACAGTAATTTAACTGTTAATTGACTTTTTTATTCTTAAAAAAATATTTTTAATTAATATTACTGTATTCGTTGCTAAATTACTGTCTCCAGCAGTTATTTAACTGTCGGAGACAGTAATTTAACTGTTAATTGACTTTTTTTTTTTTCTTAAAAAAAATTATTTTAATTAATATTACTGCCTTGGCTGCTAAATTACTGTCTCCAACAGTAATTTAACTGTCTTAGACAATAATATTAATAATATTACTGTTCGGGAAAATAATATTCATAATATTACTGTCCCAAACAGTAATATTACTGTCTGAGACAGTAATTTAATAGCCAAGACAGTAATATTAATTAAAATATTTTTTTCTAAGAAAAGGAAAATTCAAAAAAAAAAAAAAAAAGTCAACGCCGGAGGCCGGCGGTCACCGGCCGGAAAAAAATTTCAGGAAAAAAAAAATTTCGAAAAATAAAAAAAAAGTCAACGCCGGAGACCACCGTAATCTGGCCGGAAAAAAAAATTCAGAAAAAAAATTATTTTCTGAAAAAAAAAATTTGGGGGTTAATGTGATATATTTGTTTAAATCCGGGGTCAATGTGTAATATTAAGGTAGTTAGAGCATAATGGATGAAATTGATAAGAATTATATTATGGAGGGTATTTTAGATTAAAGACATGGGGATGAGTTTAATTGAGAGACTGTTTTTTTTTTTGTGTACCAAAATGCATTTAAGTCCCATGTGATGGGCCTTTTTGCCGTTCGCCCTATTTTTTAACGGTGTGTAGTACATGGACACAAACACGACATTGTTTAAAGTTTATGGGTGCAAAGAAAACTTTGCCTTATGAAAAATTCTGAGTACTTGTTGTTATTTTTTCATAACCAGAAAAGTACTTTACATTTAGGGTAAATTACACCCACACCACTGAGGTATACTTAAATAACTTTAAGGTCCCTGTAGTATCGATAATTACACTCACCCCCTTGAAACGTAGTTATAAACTCTAATGGTATAATGCATTGGGTACGTTATTATGATAGAGTTCTAACGGACTATTGGTTTCAGGAAGTGGAGGAGACAACAAAGATTTATGCGTGATTTAAGAAATATTGGGGGAGCCATGTCACCCCATAACTCCCCATAACTCTATGTTATCTCCACCACTAGCTAAAAGTAATAGTCCATTAGAACCCTATCGGAATAATGTATCCAATGCATTATGCCGTTAGAGTTTCTAACTACGTTTCAGGGGGGTGAGTGTAATTATCGATATCACAGGGACCTTAAAGTTATTTAAGCATACCTCAGGGGTGTGGGTGTAATTTACCCTTACATTTATAATAGGAATCACTTGTCTGCAAATACAAGTTATTGCAACAATTTCAAGGGCGATTGTTGTTTGGAAGTAAAGAATGAAAAGCATAATAAAAATAGGACATATGGTTTTTTTTTTTTTTCATTTTTTGCTGAAGTGCTGAAGATGCAAGGCCGATTAACATTTGTTTTATATTGTGGGATAAAAAACGGTCATTTAATTCTAAACTAGTAATCGCGCCCGTGCGTTGCACGGTGTAGCATAACAAACGTTGAAATAATTATTGTTCTAATAAATTGTTGTATAAAAATTAAAGCATTCAATAAAGCAAAAAAATTAATAACCGGGCAAAACATTAAAATTTAACTGGTACAAAATTAGTAACAATTTGCATCTTGCTTTCATTGTGGTAGATTAATAAAATTGGAGTTAATACATAAATTATTACAATGAGAATAGTGAGTTCAAATTTTCGTAAGATTAGAAGCAGTAATGGCATTGCACTTCATCTCAATAATAAATATGTAGATTTGATGGAGCAATTTCATGATTTTTGATAAACATATTATTAGTATTCATAAAAGATTAAACCACCTCCAAGGCACCATGCCTATCCATGTTCGTTAAGAACCACCAACTATTTTCAATCTTTCATAAGGAAATTGTTCTTGGAAAGACCTGCATGAACATCCCCATTCTTGTCAAATTCTTGACAGTGTTAAACTCATCTTGATACAGAGCAAGAGGTTGGCTTTCCTCTTATTTTTTCTTTTCTTCCTTTTCTTTTCGATAAACAGGAAGACCTTGGTCAGAAGAAACACAATAGAGAGAAAAAAAAAATCGAAAACACCGCATAACCTCATAAAGTAAAAGCAGAAAACTGGGATGACATGTTGCATATAAAATAACTGTCAAATTTTAAAAAACAAAATAAATAAATAAAAGAAATCAATATTATAGTGATTAGGGCAGTTTGTTTGATCAAATAATCATTCATGAAAATCAATTCACAATCTGTTAAGAAACCAAATTAAGCAAAAAATGTGGACTTTAAAGACATATTCAAATACCGAGAGAAATAAGATTAATGTCGGAAGGCCGCACAAATAAGGATGCTTCCTCACCCTTCCAAAATGAAGTCATTTCATCTCATCGTGACATTTTTTAATAAAAATGATGAAATGAAGAACTTAGAAAGCCAACTCACAATTCTTGAATTACTAATTATTTTTCGCCATCCCAGTTTACAAAATTCCTTATATCCAAAACAATACCTCAAAAAAGAAAAGAAGGATACCTGTTATGCTAGTAGCTCTCAAACAAACCGAGGTACTTAGTAATGAGAAACAAATAGGTGATGCTTGTCCCATCCAGAAGCTTGTCCTGCTCACATTAATCGTATTATGTGATTAATTATTCTTGTCTGATAATATATATAGTGGCTTAAACTAATGGTATTCCATCATCACGTATAACATCGAGAAATTAGATATGAACGAAAATGAATAAAATCCAGAGCATCAAGACATAATATTCGGCTAATACATTTTGAGATGGTATATTCGAAAACAAAACAGAGCTTAAACAAAACAGATGAAATGGCGGTAGTACACTTCTAATTCTTAAACAGATGAAATGCGTCATCACTCACCACTACCATTTATCTTCACCTCCGTCACAACAATTTTTCTTCTAATTCTTAAACAGATGAAATGCGTCATCACTCACCACTACCATTTATCTTCACCTCCGTCACAACAATTTTTCCTTGGGGAATCGCTAAACACCAAAAAAAAAAAAAAAAAAAAAAGAATCCGACAAAGATTGTAGTTTTTTTTTGTCCGAGTTAACAAATCCCACATATCAAAATGAAATAAATTTGCAAAAATAAAAATGAAATGATAATCTGTGAAATTAAATTACCTCTTTCCGCAGATTAGGGATTGGTTCCATAGCTAAACAGATCTAAGCCAGCCAGATTACTTGGAGCTCTTATATATCATCATTATTACAAACACCATCATCATTTTTTAGCTTCTTCGATTCTTGTTCTTCGTCACCGTCACAATGAACTCCTCTGAAAAATGAATGAACACAGCCCCAAATGAGAGTGAGGATGGAAGAGAGATAATCAGAAGAATCAAACACAACTCAAAAGAGAAATTCAACATAAAAAAGTCATAGAAAAACGCATGAATCAGGGGGAATTAAAAAAAAAGCAAATACCTTGTCCTTGTCAGAAAGAATCAAACACAACCCCAAATGAGAAATTCAACACACAAAAGAATGTTATAGAAAAAGGACTGAATCAGGGAAAAGAAAAAGAAGCAAATACCTTCTTGTCAGCGGCGGCGCGTCCCAGCCTTGCGGTCTAGCAGAGATTTTTTTATGCCACCAACGATTTCGCAAGACTGATTGCGAATTGTTGCAGAGATTGTGGGAGAAAATGAGACAGAAACGTGTTGGTGTTGTCATTTTTATCAGAAGTGGCGAAGGAGTTGAAACTTGAGAGAAGATAGTCATCAGTTTATCAAATGTGTGCGTTTTTTTTTTTTTTTTTTTTTTTTTTTTTAATTTATTCTTATTATCGTTGAGCTGCTTAGCGAATAAAACGGACAATTAATTATAGGACTTAATTATCCTTTACCAAAAAAATCCTCAGGGCAACAAATATTTCACCAAAACAGCATTAGAGTTTCGGGGCAAACCTTTCTTTTATATATAAAGATAAGTCAAAAGTTCTTGTTTTTATATATAAAGATAAACCTACATCATGTTAACAAAATACTTGCAGCTAGAAAGGTAACATTAGGGAAAACATTTCAAAGATGTACGGATATTCACTCTAAAATTTGCATAGATAATTTCAATCCTAGTACAATAGGAAATAAGTGGCAAGTGCAGTACGAAAGAATAGGAACACAAACTCTTTCATGTAACATCGTCCTCCTTTCTTTTCCTAAAGAAATTATGTTACCTATTCCGATGTACTAAAAGAGTAGTATTACCTGAAGAGCTATTCAACACCTCAAAACCCGTTTGCTGTCAATTCCCCAAGTTAGACATTCATGTTTTTTTCCCTCCCTACACGTGAAGAAAATATCAGTATAATCAAGTGGAAGAATAATGAGTCTTGATCTTCAATCTGATAAGACATCATTACTAACTATTGCAATTACATATATAAGAATGTCATGATGCTGACCTCCGATCAAGCAAATAGGAGGATTACTTGTCTCCTTGATCTTCAATATTGCAGTCATCTCCAACTTATCAAACACAAATAAATGGTAAAAACAGGCTTCACACAACAGGAAAAATATGCATGAAAAAACAAATTAAAAAGCTAGGCGAGGTAATTCCAATGATTGTAGAAAATTCAGTAAAAGCTTTGTAAAACAGGCCACATAAAGCGCCGAAAATAATGCCAACAAATGTCACGACTGTTTAAGAACATTAAAACAGAGTTATCCGCATTTTTGTTTTGCCTGTTGTATGAGGGAAAACGTAGAATTCTTCTTCGCTAACAATATTTTCTTGAGTGAAGCGCAAGAGACGGATTTACAAAATAAAGCTGCAATTTTGTTAACACAAACAAAAGAACAAAATTTCGCAGAGCAGAGATATATTTTCGCATAATCCCAATGACCCACGAAAGATTTTTCGGAAAAGAACAAAATAACGCAAAAAACCAAGCAAAATTTCGAGGAGCTGCGATATTTTTCTGGTAAAAGAATAGTATAAAATCAGGTCTATGCTAAAGATTTTTTCAGAAAAGAGCAAAGTAGCTTTTCGCCAAAAATGCTCGCATAAATATTTTTTCGGAAAAGAAAGAAAAATTATTTTTTCATACTATCACATATCCACCAAATGATTTTTACGAAAAAGAACAGAATAACGCAAACAATATAGCAAAATTTAGAAGAACTTTAATTATTTTTTCATACTATCACAGATCCATCAAATGATTTTTACGAAAAAAGAACATAATAACGCAAACAATATAGCAAAATTTAGAAGAACTTTAATTACATTACATATAACGTCAAGAAAATTGGTCCCCGGAATTTCATTGCGGTTCAATTATAAAGCATTGTACCATCTAATGGCCTCCATTAGTCATTTCTTATTTCCATTTTCACTTACAGCAAGATGAACTATTGAAGCTTTAACAGAGCAACATACCTAAAGGCTAAAGTAAAGATGCAAGTAAATAGAGCAACAAAGAATTTCATGAGCAGCAGCTTGAATGCAAAACCAACCTCTCGACCAACCAAGTTGTGTGGAATTTGTCAATTTACACGAATAAATCGTTACAAAAGATAAACTTTGGAAGTAGATCTACAAAAACTAACAATTTTGTGCACGACTACTACAAAGAATCAATCATATAAAATTACATCCATAATAAACGAAACGTAATCAAGAAGTCTCAAACAAACAATTACCAAAAGCAGAGATTGGTCTTTGACGGCAAAATCCATAATATGAATGGAGATGATTGGGGATTATGTTCCTATGTATTGATGCTATGTTGTGATGGAAGAAGAGCAACAAAGAGAATCCAAACGATTGTTTGACGGGTGGAAACAAAAATTGGAAAGAAGAGTTGTGGAAACGTTCAGAAACTGATAATGGTGGCCAGAAATTAAAGCATGTCTGTACAGATCCATTGATCTAACATAGCAAATTTGCGAAACTTACAACCATTAAACACGCAAACTAAAAAAATAGACACAACCCATTTGTAAAAACAAAGGAAAAAACAAATAGGGTCTTACTTGGGTTGGTGGAAAGAAAACAGTGTGATGTAGTTGAAGAGATGGCTGAGCCCGCAGAGAGGTGAGGTGAATACCATAAACTGGTGACCCCAAATTCTCTTTGAAAACAAAATCTCTCTTTGAAATTCCGAAACCAAATTGAGAATTCGTCCAGAATAGCAACAAAGATCGTATTCAGAATTCTGTACTTTTTGTAGGCGGAAAAAAATGAAAATAAGGGAGTGGAAAGTGCAGAGATCGGTAATGAGGGAAATTAAGAGACCAAAGAATTAGAAAATTCAATTCCTTCTCCAAACATATAAAACCCCAAAAATAATCGAGCTGTGGATTCTACTTTTTGCCATCAGGTATCTGCAAAGCAATGAAGAAACACAATTATTGAATTTGGTATATTAGGAGAAATACTTACCATGAGATTGCTTCTGATTTTTCGATTTGCTCCATTGTTGCAGAAAAAAAGAGGTTTCTGTGTCAGTGGAGTGATGAATGTGTTTATACAACAAAGAAGCTAATAAGGGTAAGTGGAGAAGTGGAGGGAGAAGTTTCTACACAAGTTTTGCAGTTAGAAAAACGTGGGCAGTTTTCTATACAGAGTGGGACGAAAAAAAAAAAAGAAAAAGGCCAAAATAAAACGGAAAAAAATTCGGCTAAAAAATTAAAATTTCAAAAATAACCCTAGGTTTACGGTTAGGGTTTCGGGGAAAACCTTTCTTTTATATATAAAGATTATAGTAGTTTCCAGTTGTTAATTACAATTCACAAGAGCTGTCGAATAGCAACAAGGGGTTGGTTGGGGGGGGTGGGGGGTGGTGGTTAAGGTAATTGAAGAAAATAAAATTAAAAAATGAAATTTCGGAGGAGGTCATTGTCGACGATGATGGGCCACCTCAACAGGAGTTCCCTATACGATGATGGGACAGATCGGATCGGATTTGACCCTTTCAGAAAATTTTGAATTTTTTTCGGAATTGAAATATTTGTTCTGATTTAGATTCCAATTTTTTCGGAAATTTTATTCAAAATGTAAAATCAAAGCAAAAGTAGAAAAAAAGTTCTCAAATGTTTTCATAATCAAAAGTTTTCAGAAATGAATGCATCAAAAGTTAGAAACCAAACGTGTAACAAAAAACAAACAAAAAAAAAAGAAGAGAAATTTGTAGAAAAAAGGCCGAGAAACGAGAACAAAATGCGAGTCAAATTATCTGGAACATATCAAAATCATTTTGAAAATAGTTATAGATTCTTGTTATGTAATCCTACTCACTATATTAGTTGAAACCAACTCACTATATTTTTCCAGATTTGTTTTGTAATTGGTTTTGCTAATACGAGATTTACCATTTGCCTACGTAAGAAAATAGATATGGGGTTCTTGTTTTATTTTTTAAATTATAATTTTGAATTTTAGTTGCCAAGCTGTTGTGGTGTTGAATTTTATTGTGTTTCAAAATCTTATTTTGTTGTTGAAAATTTTAACCTCAAATTGACAATTTGTTTGGTAGTGCGAAGGAGACAAATGATGTATGGAATTTAAGCTATTATTCTGATGTATTATTAACACCACTAGGGATTCAATTAATTTTCCTTAGTTACCATTTCATTTGCGTTTATAAGATGTGTTTTGATTTGATAGTTGATTACTGTAATTTAGTATTTGAATTCTATAATTTAGTAGTTGTTTACTATAAATTAGTAGTTAGTTAAGTTAATTTTGTTATTTTTCTATGTATACAAGTCCGGAATGTATATGAAGATAATTTAGAAGTTTTTTTTCAAATATATAATTATTTTTTGGGTTTGATTTGTTGATGATGGAATTTTTGCCGATAATTGTTGTTATTACTGCATTTGCAGTAATTGTTGTTATTATTGCATTTGCAGTTGTTGTGGACTTGTGAAAGAACCTTTTTCTCTGATTTTTTATGAATTCCTGTAAAACTTTGAATAAAGCAACTACTACTCTTATATTTTGTTTCTTTTTGTTGTAAAAATAGATGTTTCCGCTATTTTTGTGATCGTTTTTTTTTTATTTCTATGGTCTTTTTGTTTTTTTTTTTGGTTATGTTGTTGAAGCATTAAGGTTCTTTTTGTTTCTTTTCAAGTTGATTACATTAATCAACAACTATTTTAATAGTTGATTTCATTAATCATTGATGACATAGGATCAACGCTTTCAAGACCTTACTACAAAATTCTACTTCTTTTTGTCGAGAGTACACCGAAAGTATGACCTTGAGCTGGTGGCAGTGAAGACGGCGAACGGAGAAGTAATAAATAAGAGAGAGAGAGAGAGAGAGAGTGTTTTGGAGAAAGTATTCATATATTTTATTGAAATATCTTTTGTAAACGTATATGGTTTTCTCATATGTCTTATATACAAGATAAAGTATCTTATTTTGGATATCAATTAAGACCCTCCATTATCTACTAATTGATACTACTTTACATATTACATTCGATCTATTTTATGGTATAGATGCTTTCATCACGTTTTCTGAACGATCGGCTAACTAGGTCGCCACCTAATCTTTTTTTCGCATCTCGTGGGTTTTAAGTGGATTGCTCGGCTAACCATGGTGAATGACCTCGTTGGGACTTTGTTTGGGCATTGAATAATGGGGTCCACCTTGCTCACCATGGCTTATCTGGGCCTAGATGTTTTCTCTTCACCTTGGGCTCCGCTGGACTTGGGCTTGTTTTGTCTTTATTGGGCCATTTCTAGGGCTAACAATTGATTGACCAAACAAGCATCCATCATCTATTCCCCATATTCTTTAGCGAAGTGCTTCGCTATAGAATAAAAAGCAACTTTGACTTTGGCCTCGATATTCCTCTTCGCTTTGACTTTGTAAGATGCAGGCTACTCCCTCCTATTGTTTGACGTAGCTAGCGAAGTGCTTCTCTATGGAATAAGAAGCAAGTAAATTTCGCCCTTCCAATTTCTCCTCAAGAATACGCGAAACTTTTCAGTACGCCATCATAATTACGGTGTCAGCCTCGGTCTCCGTGGCCATCCCATAAGCTTTCTTGTTTCCAAAGTGCACCATTGGGTGATGGCCTTGGCCTCCGTGTCTCATTCTTCATCTTATTTCCTTTTTTCGCTTCATCCTTTGCTCCTCCAAATATTGCAATATCGTCGTTGCTTACTTACTGCGTCGTCGTTCTTCCGCCTTATCGCCGCCGGGTCATGGAGTTTCTTGCGTAGATTTTTTCCTTAGTTTTTTGGTCATTCTCTCATAGATAAGAGTATTAGTCCAGGTAACCCTCTCTCCTCTTCTATCTTTCTCTCTTTATTTCTCTTTTTTCTTTTATTTTTGCCTGCTCCCTTCTTCTTCTTATGTGCTTCTATGGCAACTTCTCCTTCTTTCTCCCGCTTTTCTAGACCTTTCTAGCTAGCAAATTTCTCCAGTGCCATCATAACAATCCTAATCAGCAGCACGATTGGAGTCTGCTTGCCACTTGTCACCCAGTCAATTCTGACTCTCAGCCTTGAGCGGAGCCTCTTCGTCATCGTCAAAGCTTTTGCCGTCGTGATTATTCTAGTACCTGGATTCATTCACGTGTTGCCAGATTCTTTCGACATGTTTTCCTCCACCTGTTTGAAAAAAACCCCGTGGCACAAATTTCGATACACCGGATTGTGGCTATGCTCTCCGCTATTATGACTCTCATAATCGACTGTAGGGTCACAAGCGTCTACTCTAAGAAACACATGCTCGATCAAAGGACTTATTGTTGCACTTGCTTTCATCAAATGTTTGAAGGAATGGGACTTGGTGGCTGCATTCTCCTGGCGCACTACAAGTTCATAAAGAAGGCAGCAATGGCATTCTTCTTCAGTGTGACAACTCCATTTGGATTAGCATTGGGATTGGGATTGGCCAGCACATACAAGGAGAACAACCCTCGAACGTTGATCACCGTTGAATTGCTGAACGCGTCATCTGCAGGGCTGTTGATCTATATGCGTTTGTGATACAATCTCTTGGTAACAAAGTGAAACTCTTACTTGCGTAAGTATTTTTAGAGAAATAAATCTTGCATATCGTTCACCCCACTACATTACATGCTTAAATAAGTCCTATAAGATAAGGAAACTTCCTCAACCGCTCTAATAAACTACCTCTAATAGAACATACTATAACTGCGTACAAAGTAAATAGACTAAAATAGATAAACACTAATTTATGTAACCAAAGTTTAGCTTTTTCGTATCATTCCACTCCCCTTATGAACAACATTGTCCTCAAGGTGGAGTTTATGGAAACTCTTTGTCATCACGCCTTGCCTATCATCTACTTGCTTGTTATCCTGTTTGATATTATTCCTTGCCTCCTACCTTCCAATCAGCTACAATCAAATTCACATCTTCCAACTCAACCCCCTTTTGCTTACTTCCTTGTAGGTGGTATGTCCTGCCATTCTCGCTAAATTGCATAGTCATGGCACGATAGTCCATCAAGATTGGCCCTAGGCCCTTCAACCACGGTACCCTGAGTACTATGTCCACACCAATAATCGGTAATGAGAACAAATTTACGTTGAAGGTGTACCCCTGCAATTGAATCGGTACAGAGTTGTACTCAATTTGACACTCTAATTTTATCCCCATTCGTTATACGTACTGTGAATGGTTTGACTCGAGTGACTGGTATTTGGAGTTGATGGGCTAGGACTGGGTTTATGAAATTTACGTTCGACCCCGTATCAATTAACATTTCCACATGTGACATCTCAAGTAGTCTCGTTAAGCGCATGGTAGTTGCACCAGCTTCTCCCCCAAGGCATTCAATGAAATATGGGGTTCTTCTTAGAATCCAACATCTTCTTCTTCTATACCCCCTTTGTTTTCTATTAAAAGCGCTTGGACCCGTCTGCATTGGTGCCCTCAAACGTACTTTTCGTCGTAGTTGAAACATAAATTCTTCTTTCTCCGTTGTTGCATCTCTTCCAAGAAAGTTTTCGTGCTTCTCCAGACGGCTTTGATTGGGTGCTCATCGATCCAATGTTGCAAGTCAATTGCGACATCCTCCCTGTTGAACTACTTGGGATGTTCAACTTCTTCCCAGCCTGGAGTTGTTTATCTTTTCTCTTCGCTAATTCAATCGCCAATTGAAGATCCCTTGGTTTAAATAATCTCACATCGCCTGCAATCTCCTCCTTCAAACCTACCATAAATGCTCCCAGTAGAGTTGCTTCTGCCCAATTAGGTAAACAATTCATTAAGCGTTCAGAATCTCGTAAGAACTCACGAAATCCTTCTTTTTTTCGTAATCGACACATTGATTCGTTCGAATCTTTACAATCTCCATGTCCGAAACGGAGAAGTATTCCCTTTTCAAATTGATTCCATGAAAGCTTGTGTCCTCGATTTGCACGTTCGAACCATTTCCACCATTGGTTCGCTTCTCCCTCTAGATTAAACAAGGCCAGCATAATTTTTCTAGAACCATGAATATTGTTCGCCCCAAAAAATTGTTGTGCTCAATTTATCTAAACTCTTGGCTCATCCCCCGCGAATTTCGGAAAATCCATACGAACTTGAAGTTTTCTTCTCTCTCTGTCACCGTGGTTCCCTTGACCAGAAGCCCTGCTGCGGCAAGATATAGTCGATGCATGACTTCCATCGCTATCTCCCTCTTCCGACGATCCATCTGACGATGGTAGTGAATTGCAGCCCAATGGATTCCGATGTCGTCGTCTCTCTGGACCACGTTCAAGTAATTGTTGAGGGAAAATTCTAATTTATTGCATAGAATTTTCCAACGTATCTAACCGTTCCCTATTTGTTGCCATTGATCAAGCGTAGCGTTGATACAATCGCAATCTTGCTCTGATACCAATGGATACAATCTCTTGGTAAGAAAGTGAAACTCTTACTTGCGTAAGTATTTTTAGAGAAATAAATCTTGTATATCCTTCACCCCTTTACATTACATGCTTAAATAAGTCCTATAAGATAAGGAAACTTCCTAAATTGCTCTAATAAACTACCCCTAATAGATAAACATACAATAACTGCATACGAAGTAAATAAACTAAAATAGATAAACATTAATTGATGTAACCATAGTTTAACTTGTTCGTATCACTTTGGTGGATCATTGGCTGTTGATTTTATGGGGCCAAAATTGCAGAGAAGTATCAAACTCCAAATCAAGTCTTACATAGTTGTTCTACTAGGTGCCGGTGGGATATCACTCATTGCCAAATGGGCTTAATTGATGATTTTATGTGTTTTGCTAGTTTTTTTTAATTCAGTTATATGTGCCTCTTGTGATGTTCATCTTGATTACGATTCCATACATTTCATTGTTTCCACTCTCTGAAAATGTAAATTTACCTCTTCATGATCATGAAAAAAAACCAGGTAATTTGCGGTTCTTGCATGTATACTGAAATTTTAGTCGTACGTTATTATTTTCATCAAGTCCTGAATATCATTTGATCATAAAGCTTATAAGTTCAGCTTTCTATTTCTCGTAATCTAATCGGTTATATATGGTGTCACCGTCTCTAATTTAGATTCCTTATAAATATTATTATTCGTGGATATTAACTCATTAACAAAATAATCATTTTTAGATATAATTTTTTTAAATACAAATATGAAATATCTACCCGACGGAAGATACGCAGACCTCTAACCTACATAATATAAATTCAAGTTAAATATTTCATACCACAACCCAAAAGTGACTATAAATATGAATAAGAAAGAGTCAAATCAAGACCATACAATCGATAACAAATTAATGAAAACAAATTAAAACGTTGTCCTAATTAATTCATACTCAAAATAATGTTATCAATAGGGACAATACAAATTCAAGTTGGCGAATGTATGGACGTACATGTATGTAGCTAACGTGCAACCTCCAAAGAGATTTAATTTAAGCTTCGACACCAAACCTTTTCGGAGTATTTGCTTTTTTTGTTGCAAAATAATAATTGTTCAATCGGATTTGGGGTTGAAGATTTCTAGATTTTAAATGAATTATGATTCATGAAAAATCCCGTTTTCCTTCGACCCTTATTCACCGATGCCCTTATTCTGATTCTGGATTTGAGTAATAGTCGTGCTATATTTCTATTCTTTTATGCACTACTTTTCTTGATTTCATCGAAATCAACCTGTAATCCTGTATGAAAGTTTAATTGGTTTCATTTTCCTTTCTTCTTATCCCTCTGTATGAAGAAAAACATGTTGCATTTCAGTTATGATGGCTTCCCACTGATTAAGTAGTTGAGTTGGATCTGAAGTGGATTCACTTAGAGCTTTATTGGATCGAATTAATTTCACAAACCTCGAATGGACTTACCCTGTTTTAAACATTTGAGATTCTTTGGATTGAATTTCAATTCTCTGGCATGCAAATGTGTGATCTTGGTGGTCACTGCTTTGGTTCTTCGTGCAGTTTTTCTTCCTAGATTCCCCGGCTTTGTTGGAATTGAACACAGCATTTTGTTTCCTGTTGTCAACAATCGGCAAACCTTAAATCCAGAACTTGACAATGAAAAATCCAAGTTTTTAGAGGTTCCTAAAATCGTATGGGGTCTGAATAACCAAAAGATTGCATATGCGCAAGAATGCTGAATCGAACACTTCTAGTGCCTAGCTTGAGCGTCTCCTTGTTTTACAAAGAGGTTGATCACCTCAAACCTATTTCATTCGATAAGGTTTTCCAATTCGAAAAGTTCAATTTACTCTGCAAAGGGGTCGTCCAATTGGGACGTTATTCACAAATTTCAAACAAAACCGATTCACTCGAGATTCAAAAAGGAAGTGGGCGAAAATGGACTGTTGAGAAAGATCTAGAACAGTTGCAACAGTTGACTGGGCATCCCTACAATAGGTGCGGAACAATCCGGATAGTAGGCAAGAACCCATTTCTGTGGCATGATCATTGGCCCCTTAAAGACTACGCAAAGGTCTTTGAGTGTTTAGTCTTGGTGGAAGAAATATCTAAAGAGGCCGATAAAGTTGTTTTCCAAGATTAGAAAAATCACTTCATTACAAAATGGTAATAATTTGATGTTACAGCCTTATGTATCAGTTCATATGAGAATCGAAAAGGATTGGATAATACACTGGAAGAAGCTGTTGGAGAGACTGAATATAACGGAAATATCACTAGTAGAAAATTTGGTTATTACTACGAAATTTTTTGCTACAGTAAAAAATCGTAATAAAAAGTACTTCTTACTACGGAACAATTTTGAAGTCGTATGGCCATTTACCATAGCAAAGCTTTTGTCACACTCGTATATGCTATGGGGCAAATTCGTAGCAAATGCGTAGCAAAAGCCTTTTTAGTACGAATTTGATCCCTTTTGCTACAGTTAATGATCGTAGTAAAAAGCCATTTTTTCTACTAGTGTGTGCCGTATCAAAGAGCAGATGATTGAAAGAGTGGTGAATATTGTGGGATTGAAAACTCCGATTCTAATATACCTCGCGGTTGCCGATGATCTTCTAGAAGATAACTCTATATTGGCGGGTTGGAAGGAAGGTTTGCTTCCATTTGAGAAGAAAAAGTTGGGTGTTTTAGAGATATATAAGAAGCAATCATATTTGATACAATCAGCAATTGACTATGAAGTTTGTGCGAGGTCGGATGTTTTTGTTGGGAATAGCTATTCGACTTTTTCTAGCCTTGTGGTTCTTGATAGAACTCAAAGAATGATTAGTATGGGACTTTTTCTTATGCTTACAATTTAGAATGTGAACCGAAAGGCACACCACGTGCATGGGCGGCTAATATGTCTGATTTGAGCCTCCAAGCAATTAGTTACAGTTCTAATCATATTTCTTGTCCATGGTTTTATGTTTATTTTATTTTATTTTTAAAATAGGTATAGATTCAAATTGTTTGTAGACAATATCAGGTATATAAATTTGATGATAGGGATTCAGGTATACTTTGGGTAGTGTAAAATGTTGAGGTTTTGAAATTTTGCATCTAAGAGTATATTTTTTTCCGGAAATTACTACACAAACTTAAATCTTCATCTTCCCAACTTCAATTCCAACTCCAAGATCATGTGACCAGCCTCCTCCCACCACCGCAGCACAGCCTCCACCGTCGGCTGCTCCGCTGTGTTGCTCTACCATAGCCGTCGCGCGAAGTCCAGGCTCGGACGAACAAGGGTGCTGACGATCGGAGGAGCTTCCGGAAATTGGAAGCCTTCTTCGGCGGCGGCGGCAATTGGAGCCCAGCTGAGCCCTACAACCCTGATTACAAACTGGCGTTCGAGCCTTTCTTCACCACATATCACATCTGCGTTGGTATTCAACGGATTTTGTGGATTTTTTTTTTATTTTTTTTTATTGGTGTTGTTGCTAGGTTTTGCAGAAACAAAACTAGCTTGAAGATAATATTTCCCACTGTTTTTAATTTTTGTTTTGTTTGGTTTTGGATCTTGAAAAAAAAAAAGCTAGAATTTTCTAGTTTGTTTTTGCTGGTTGGGATTCAGTAATTAAGTGGGAAGACGATGGTGGTGGTGTTGGAGATGGCATCGGGATTCAAATCGTTGAAGACGATGATGATTCAATTTATCTATTATTTTTTTTTTCTTTTTTTTCCTTGATTTTTTCTGATTATTAAAAATTTAGTATACAAATTAAATTGAAATATTATATATATATATATATATATATATATATATATATATATATATATATGATAATAATAATAATAATAATAATAATCATCAATAAACATATACATAATATTGTAATTTTTTTTCTTTTACATAATTTAGTGTAGGAAAAATTTAAAAGTTATAAAGAAATTATATAATAATTTTAAAAATATAAAAACCCCTTTCCATTTGTTTAATTAAAAGATATAACAAAAATAAAATTAGTTTTTTTATCAGTAATAAAAAAATAAAATAGTTAGAATATTAGAAAATAAGAATTTAAATATTTCATTTGTTTTTTTTAATACTATAAAAATAGATATTTCATAGGGGTTTTTGTCTATTTACACAAGGTCAACCCTTAAATTGGTAGTGGGTCAAGTGTGCTATTTAAGAAAAAACACAGGGTGTTTTTGCTAGTTTATTTATCACATGTGGTTTTTTGCTATTTTAACATTACAGATGGGTACTTTTTGCAGTTTACTCGTGGCAAATGATCATTTACAGCATAACACAGCACAAATTATCGGAAAGGAGAAAAAATGTCCTTGTGTATGTATTCTTTTGAAGCTGTTTATTGGAATTAAATTTATATGGTATACGTATTTATATATACTAGTAAGCTGCACATGCGCGTGTTAAACAATGGTTCTTGGCAATGTTTTATGAGTTCATGATGCTCAAATTATTTTCATCCTAACCAGCTATTTATGATATTTTGGACAAATTATATTGTTGAGAATGATGCATCACGGAGTTGTTGACTGCACAAAAGAAATAACTTCCCCCTTATAAACTTATTTTTTTTTAAATATCAATATTGTTGTTGAAGGTATGAAGAATCCGGCAACTCATTCAAGATTCCGACGGCGGCGATCGGTTATTTGCTAGGGCATCCGATGAATTGTGGGTCAAATTTCGAGGTCATCTATCATCGCCCTGACAGTTTTATAAATAACATTCATAGTAATTTTCATAGACATTTTGACGATTTCAGGTGATTTTATTGACATATATAATGTCAAATATATTATTTAATTTATATTATAGGTGAATTAACAAAATATAATTGATCAATGATGATTTCGATCTAAAAATGTCCGATTCTTGGACATATGTTTTCAGCACAATTTTTAATAGTTTTCAGTAATCTTGATTTTTTTTAAGGCGGCGGTTATATGCAAGTCCATTTTTTTATTAGTTCAAAACCACATAAATGAGTTTATTAGTTGAAGCCCGTAAATTAATCTAATTTTATTACATCAAGACCAAAGATGACAAATATACCCTTATCCACAAATAATACTCAAATACAAATAAATCTTATTTTTAATTTGTTCAAGACCAAAAATCAAAAAAAATAAAAAAAAAAAACAAAAACAAAAAAGAAATATCACGACTGCCAAATATTAATCTATGCTAAATATGTATGAATGAACATTAATCTATGCTTATTTCTTGTTGGGTTGCAATGATTTGGCCGATTTTGGAAAAAAAATTGAGATTGAAATTGGTTTTTTTATTTTTTTTTCGTTGGTTTCTCAAATCAGTTTATCTAGACCAATTTTGTACACGA